TTTTACTGAGAGTATTTTCAAATGGATTTGCTTCATCGAGCCCCCATAAAGTAGACTTAACTGTAAGTTTAAGCATGTGATAGGTTTGCCTCTTAAGACCCATATGAAAAATCCATAAGGCAATCCTCATTTTAGTATCACCACCTTTTTTGTGGAATTTTCATGAGGAATGTACGGGGAAATCCCTATATCGGCATGCCCCTCATTAATGACATGAGGCCCATACGCTACATTCGGCATGAGTCCTATAAATTCTAGTCGGGACTTTTTTTGGTAGGATTTTCATAAGAAATCTACGGGGAAATCTCCATATCGGCATGCCCCTCATTAACCACATGAGACCCGCACGCTACATGGAGCGTGCCCTCTATAAATTCTAGTTGGGTAATGATTTGAACACTCAATATTAAAAATCAGAAAATATTGCGTGATCTACAAGAACTCAACCTTACATTTAAATAGATGTTTAGGTAGGTATAGTTGAATATCCAGATATTTAAAATTTTGAATAATCAAATATTTGGATAGATCTTTGAATTTGTAAATATTCGAATATTTGGATATTTGAATATTTACTTTTTTTTTAATTGAATTATATACACCTCTTCTATATAGCTTGTGTTTTACTGAACAATATCTTAAACGTTTTTAATCATTATCCTTTGGTGACTAGTATACTATTAAAACATGAAGAATCAGTATATAAATTTAAATAGTCAAGATCTAACGAAATAACTAGCAAAGTAACTAACCTAACGTAATCTAACCAAACTAATAAGTAATTGATGTATATAAAGTTGATTAGTTTATTTTATAGTAATCCTTTATAATTTTGGCGTAGATTTGGAGTATTATGCTTTTTAGTTTGACCCCTTCATAACTAAGAATCCCATATTAAGAGGATTCAAAAAAATAAAATAAAGGACTCCGGAACACAACTTACTCCTTCAAATGACCACAAGGAAAATATGTGGTCCAATATAAATCATTTTAAAGCCTGCACTCAGAGCTAGGCAATACTTCAAGTAGATGTACCTGAGAAAGTACTTAAAATACTATTCGAAACTTCAATTACCCTACTACAAATACTGTAAGAAGCCTTCACTTGGTACTTGATCCTTGACAGAATAATTCTGTNTAATGAAACATTTGGATATCCAAATATTTGAATTTCAATCCCCACAGTCAAAAAGGATGAAACGTAACCATTAATTCTGTGGAACATCTATATTTCCAAATTCGACCACAACACATAATAACAGTCAGATAAAGTAATCGCACTGTAGAATATTTTGATAAACTGACAACTAACCCATTAAAAGAAGTGTATTTTATTTTTTAAAGGAACAACTAATACTTGTTCGGTTATAAGATCGAAAAGCTCAGCTGAATCCACATTAAATTCCATCCTTTGAACGGCCATCGTCATTGTTATCATTTCTCCCTGGCCGTCGTTTATTATTCTCCAATGCTGTTTGAACTAAACAAACTTTCGTAGTTTTTTTCCCCTCTTTTTCTATATAATACTCGTCGAGAAAAAGGAATTTGTCGAATACGAATTCAGACGCATACACATCACATATATGTATAAAGCTAAAATAAAAACAGGAACGACAATGAATGCCCAACACCTCTCATTGCCACAAGGACCTGACAGTTATCGTCTCATCTATCATATTCCCTTGCCACTTAAAAACGTTGCTGGCTTGCTACAGGTACGTGTATAACTTTTAGTCAGTTTGATATGACATGTGAACGGACACGGCGAGTGCCTTTTTTTATCTTTTTCTTTGACGTTATGTTAGGTATAGGTAACCACGTTGGTATAACTGATTATATAACATAACAGACAACGGACGACGGAAAAGCTTGGATCGGAAAGAATGAACAATGTTGGTTCAAGAAATAACCATATATACACTGACCGATTCGGACAATGAATCCTTTAAATTCGTTTTAAACCGTACCGAACACAATACACTTGTCCTATTAAATTTGGTCACACTGAAACAAAACAAACAATAGCTTTGTTTTCTTAAGATTTGAGGATCAAGTTTATTTGGGGTAAGGATTTGAATGAATGTATATCTATCATCAGTTGAATAATTTCGTTAAAAATTTTATAGGAAATGTCATTTACCGACATGATGAAAGCGTTTCATTTGTTTGTCACTATAAAGTGGGTGCAAGAAAGATGCATTGACAAATTCAATGTTAGTTCAATAATTTTTGTAAGAAACCTTATAAACTGTACTAGAAAGCATGGGAATTTTTACTGTGCTACCATGGTAATTTTTCCAATGTTAGTCAAGGAACTCAGGATTTACAAGATTTTTCTCTTCGTGTAAGACTCCTTCTAATAATAGGTTTCATTCAACAATTATTGAAAAATTTCATTGTAATCAACTTACTTGAAATTGGATTTTATATTAGTTTCCAAGGGTGCTAAATGCAATTAAAATTACTTCTTGGAGATAACCGAAACCGGATTATACGAATGTTATTCTATTGAAAATATGAATCCTTGTAATTATAGTATCTACAGTCTGAAGAATTAACGCATTAGTATTTCATGATTATCTTCTTATATGTCCTATTGAACAAGTCAACTTAACCTAGCCCAACCTAATCTTAAGAATGTTTGGTTAAATAATTTGGAAAGATTTTCGAAAATTTTTGAAGATATAGTAACAATAATGTCAGTATTCCTCATTATAAGGTTTCTAGTTGGACATGCACCTCCAATCTTCGCATTTCTCGAAAACTAGAACAGTCGACATTTATAACTATTTGTGGAAAGTAATCTATGTATGAGGAATCTAATCTAAGTCTACATCTACGCTTTTTAACTCCTGCTTCTGATTAAAATTAGCCTCTTACTAGCCTTTCCTGTCTGAGAAGGTGCTCTACCAGTCTATCTCATCTATTTCTCACTCTACTCTATTTTACTACTTCCTCATTTCTAACATTTTCCATCCAGGATATCTTTTGCATCATCGTCACATTTCAATAAATGTTTCTAACTTATTCTTTTCCGCAGCGCCCACACTCCAAACATATTTGACTTTTAACAGATAGTCTCTTTCTGCACAAGTGATTTTTTTTTGTTAAAAATGACTCGACCCTGCACTATTCTTTGTTTTATTATTTTATTGTTATATCTCTATCGTTTTTCCCATTCTGAAGTTTGATCGCAAAAGTAATGGTAAACGTTCAATTTGTGATCTTTTTTCTATTTATTTTGTAAGGTCCACAGTTAGTTATGGGTTGAATAAGCACACATTTGTGGATACCGTATCCCAAAGGATTCAAACGGCACAAAAACTGTCACGATCTTTATCATTGATAAACACGCTGATTTAAGATGTATGAGCATTAAAATCACCAAACTTTTTTCAAGTTTTACAACTTTCTCGTTGTACATAAATTACATATATAACAACATAGGAATTATTTTTTGTCTGTATTGTTAAGTTGTAGAAAAAAACATTGAACCTTAGAACCACTACATAAGTATTTAACAATAAAATACAACTACTAAGTAAATAATTATAACATTGTTGTTAGATCATCCGTTTATGTTTTACGCCAACACAAAATTTTAAAACTATAATTATGAAGATAGGCAGGCATAAATCTCATAAATAAATAACTACAAATTGGTATTGAAATAAAGATTTATTGCAGTTATTTTATATTCTTACTGTACAACTTTATTTTTTAATTTCTTATTCCAATACTTATTTCATCTATAACTACAACAATGGACTGTATTTATAAAGATAAATAATTTATCAGGTGCTATCGGCAATTGTTTGTCTTATTTTTTTTTTATAAAACAATGTTAGATTGTATACTACCTACTATCTTTCTATTAAGTTATTCCAAGTTTATAACAGTATTTTATTTAAATATAGTTATGTCAAAATTGAGATCTTCCTTAATATTTTAGTAGCTCATAGTAGTATTATTGTACAGATAAATATTTGTTGATATATCTAGCGTGCAATATACACGCTGGCATACATATATCTGTATACCTAAATAGAAAATCTGTTATAAACGGTACCTCAAAGCATTCGTTCCCCTTTTTCGCATCAATCAATAAAAACGTCACCATGACATATAGGACGTGTTTCATTTAATCTCCTCGTACAAAAGGAAAGGCTGTTAGTGCATATGTCAAGGAAACGTTGCTTGCCGGTACCTATACTTTATGACCAACAAAATGGCCTTCTTCATCAACCAATAGGAAACAAGCGCTTAACGAGCACACCGAGATTAAACCATATAGAAAACGGCAACTAAACGTTTTGATTGATTGCACAGTATTTAAGCAGTTACAACAACGTAGATAAAATAAAAATAAACACCATTATATAATGTAAAATGATAAAAGGACTTGAGTAGGTTATGAATAAGCCGCTGTCTCTCTTTACGTGGTAGGTAAACGCAAAATCCTTTGAACATAACATTTTCCGGAAAGGCATTAGGTAAAAATATCAATATCAAATAATGTACATTTCAGATATTTTAGAGATAATATTTTAAACAGTATTACGTAGGTTGTTCGAAGAAAACAAAGTAGAACTTTCTTGGAAAATGAATCCTTTCCGTTAAATGCCAAAAGTGAAAATTTCAACTGTTTATTGAGAAAATGTTGTTCCTTTTATATTCAAATCCTTTCCCATTACATTCATACTATTTTCAGGTAGCTTTCCAGCCTATACCCACACCAGGCAGGCATATTAGAAATTGGTCCTTGACACCCAATGACGATATTAGTGTATCTCGAAAATTTTCCCCTATCAATCACGAGAAGGTTCAGTTACCTTCATGCACATCATGGAAAAATTTTTATGTTGGGATTAATTAATAATTTCAGTAGATATATGTAGATTAGGTCTACATTATATTCCTTAAAAGCTCATCATCGGTCATGAATGGACAATTTAATTGTGCCAATAACTTACTTATGCGAATAAGTAAAGCTCTCTTACCTTCATGCTCTTCTTCTTTGTCACTCGTTCTGCAGCACTCTAACACACTGCATTGAGCCTCGGAAGTACCATACTTTTATTGCACTTCACTTATATCACTTCAAGGATTTTTAGTCATCGCAAAAAAGGAGACACTACAGGTCAGTAGGTACGCAATACGCGTTTAGATGCCGGTACAACAGTTGGGGGATTTCCAGCAAAAGGGCCGCGAAAATTCGGACTCAAAGTAGGTAAAGTTAGAGTAGTGCTTACATAGAGCGATTCGGGTTTTTGGAAGTATGACGTTGTCACTACAAGCGTGCGCAGGAGACTGTCGACGTTGCTACGAGCATTCCTTTCGAAGGGTAATGCATTGGAAAGGAATCCGATTGGTGGATAAGATGGAAAGAGGCCAAACCTTTTTCACAAATATGGGCGTGGATCTTTTAACAAACCACACCCGCTCATCAAACTTTCAAATATACTACACTGTGGTATATACTACACTGTGGTTACCACTGCTTGCTTTTCTGTCTTTTTGCTAAAGACACTCCTGGCGTTGTTTTGAAAGCGACATGGATCACTGTACGTGAAAAAGTTTGCTAACAGCCATCGTTATGAATTCAATCGGATATTTGTTCGGGGAAATTCATCTACCAGTCATGTCATAAGTATCTACCTATCCACACCATGAACACACTCAATTCTAAAAGATAGGATTCTCATACTGCGAACTACCTAACCCAATCCAAATGTTTTGTTCTTCATGCATACTTACTTGTTGTGGTTGATACACTTCTACGAAGTTGTCCAAAGTTAACAGGATCATATTTACAGTGAAAGCAACCCGAGGTTAACTCTAAAGTTTAGGATCAACCCTCAACTCAAAGAAGTTCGATATCCCCACTAGATAAGGGCCTTATCGAACGTAATGGAATCCCACACAGAAAGTAGTAATTTTCTACAGATGTTGTTCACACGCACTGAATGTACTTATTCATCGAACGCTGTTTAATAGTAAAAGTTTGACCAGTGTTCTGTCACGAATGAACGGAGTGGCGTGTTGATGAGATCTAACGAGTTTGAATATTACTGGCCACTAAAGATTTCTTGTTTTGCTTGGTTACGCGTTAAGTCGATATTCCCTGTAATAAAGGGCCTTTTGTACTACACCCCCCCCCCCAAGAGCTCCATGACATATTAAATGCTTCAGTTCTTTAGTACTGGATGTGAATAGTGGTTCTGTGTGAAAAATCCAATTGCCCCTGAATATGAGCAGCAGAAAACAAAATGAAAAATGACTGCCTTCATTTCCGACAAGAAAGAAATATGCGAAAATGTCTTTGGTTTCAAATTGTAGCTGTGTGCTTAGTAGGTCTTTACCTGTATGTGCTGAGGGACAAGGACACAATATAGGCACGCTGCTTGCAACATGTTGCAAAATTGAAGACAGTAAGTTGATGGAAGCCTTTGACTGATTTACTCAGAAAATTGCAGGAAGGCGTCAACGAAGAAAAACCAAAAACATGTGGTATTAAAACACTGCGATCTCGGCATATACTGGATAATTCACTTATCTTCGCATAATTATGCACACTTCCAATGATAAACGCGAGCTCCAACGCACTTTTTTTGCACTCTTCGCCTTAAGAAAGCATGACTGAGAACGATCATGCTACAAGAAAGATTGCAACAAAATGCGCTCATTATAGCATTGAATTCACTTCTGAAGAAGTCATCGAAATATTAGTGAATTCGCGTATCGTTTTGTTTTAGGAAATGATCTATTTCAGTAAGTACATATTAACGTACCGCCCGAATTATCAAACCTGATAAAAGACGACTGAAAGATTCTAATGCATTCCATCAAATACTATGATAAAATTGCAGTATAAATACTTCCACTTATTAGTCGTGCAGGGAGCTGGAAATTGAAGACAGGTTTATGTTTATTAACATTATGTTTAACATTGTAGTGTACTTGAAGGGATCAGTATGAGTTATTTATTAAGTGTTAGGTTAATATATTGTAGATATACAATCTAGTGATTTATAAGCACAATTCATAAATAGATTGCACCTAATTAGATACTCATTATTATGTATGCGGCCCTTCGTCCTTGTAGGTGAAGTTGATAGCTGTGTTACCTAAAATAGCGAATTTTTGGATTTACCTATGCATCATGAGAATACATTTGATTCTGGTTCTCTTTTCATGCTGTGTAATGGTACATGGTTCTTCATGGTAGGTATGTTCTCGGTTTTGCATAGCAAAAGTGACCGTTAATAAAATAATTAATAAACCCAACCAGTTTATTTAATACAAAAAGGATGAACATAAAACAAAACCCAAGAGGGATCATGTCCCCGTATCGATATTATATAAAACGAAGATTACCTTTGGTTTGAACAAATAACTAAATAGCTTTTTATCGGCTTGACTCACGAACCACTCCACAGTTACTAGTGACTCCCTATAAGCTGGTCGACACAAAACCTGCTTACCTGTAATAAGACGTACACCTACTGTCTTGTTTTTCATACATCGCATATCCATCCTGGTGTGGTTCTATCGATCCACCCCACTTTGACTCGCGTACAAAAATATATAAAGATTGGAAAAACTTTGGCGGTTGTAGAACAAACAGAATAGCTCAAAATAGACTTGTAAATTGTAGTTCAATAAATCTTCTTCAATGAAGTGAACTAATTCACTAGTCTAGTTCAGTAGTTCATTTAGTTCAACGCTCAGAATGTAGAGTAAGCAAAACGTCCAATAATACAGTATAACTCATATATTTTCAACACCATCTATTTTTAATTGATTTTACTCATGTATTTTCACATTTTTCGTCCCCATTTTCTCACTTTTCACGCAAAACGTCCTGTACAACTACTGAACTATAATTCTTCCAGTTGCTGATCTACTTCACTCAGCTCAGTTGAAGTGAGCCGTTCTTGTGAACGATTCGTTCATGAGTTATTGTACAGGCCTGACGCTGGAAGCTGGCGGAAATTTTAAAATGGCGTGGATGCGCAGTAGCAAAAGTAGGCAGTTTTAGGTATAAAGATTGCAGCCCTCATTCTTCAGTATTCCTATCAGGGGCGTAGATTAAATATTGAAAAATAGGGATCAGTGAACAAGTAATAGACAGACAAACAGAAGAACTAATTGTTGATGTTGGTGACAGTGATAGAGATTCCCATGATGAGAGTGAATGTGAAAACTAACTACAAAACAAAAGCAATAGGTTAATTTTTTCTTTTTGATAAGTCATGTTTTTGCATTATTTTCTAGTACGCTACTGCCCTATCTCTATTAATACTATAATTTACGCCTACTGAAAGCTTATTTGTGTATCGGTTCCAAGTGACTTACCCAAATAGGTCATAAATGGACAAGTACCTGCGCGATCGCTCGCTAGCTTCCTTCCTCAGACCTGTACACAAGTCTACCTCAAAACCCCAACCGAAAAGTGCTTCGGACAACTACAGTGTCGTGTTTTGGCGTTGGGGTTTTGAGCTACTCTGTTTGTTCTACAAAAATATGTTAGCAATAGCACAACACAATACGTACATGTAGGTATTAAACACGTTAGAGTTGTTAAAATATTTTCAGATGTAGCAATGCAGGTGTCCGTTTAGGCTGTTTAGTACAATAATTTGGGTTTAACAAAGTAGATTACTTACCAATAAAGCGGTTGAAATATGGAAATAAATACTAGACAACATGTAGTATGCACACAGTGAGAGTAACCACCGGAGAATAAGGATGTCAGAGAATCAACCTTCAAACCTTTTAATTAAAATAAAAATAGGCCCAAACCATTGTGCTCTAAACTGCCCTATTGTTCATCTATTTTAACATAACAAACCTTTTTCAAAAAACCTTTTTACTTGTATCTACTTAAACTTAAAATAGTATTAACACGAAATTTTCATTATGTTAATAGTTTGGTTAAAGATTTAGATACATCTATAACTCATCTGTGACGCCATCTTCTCTTCAAATGATACAAAGTAATTGCCCATAAAATGGCGCAAATTACAGACCTTTAACAAAGACCAAACTATAATGCATACACATTTCTGATATAAGTAGGTAGGTATGTTACATTCATCTACGGCGTAAATGATTCGTTCTTTGTTTTTTAATTATCAAAGTAGAAGCTGAATTTTTATCATTGTTGCAGTGTGTCGTTATCACATTTTAAGTACAATAATATTAATTTTTGAAGTTCACGAGGATTTTCTGCTTAAAATATGAGAATACGAAAATATTAGAATCGGTTTCTGGTTTATGTAGCAGCCTTATGAAGATGGACTGTAACAGAACGGTGCAGAAATTGAGAAACTCAACCTAATTGCCAAAGCCTTTAAGGATGTTTGGGAGGTACAATCGGAGACAAGAGTACATAAAATTAGAAATTCGTGATTAATTAGATTTTGCAGCATATCATGAGGTAAATAAATGCTATCTATACTAAAAAAAAAGTATACGGTTTGAGAGAAAATTTGGCATTTGACCAAAAACTGAATAAAATAAGAAATAACGAATACTATGGAAAATTTTTAACTGACTGTTGGCAGTAAATATGCCTTTATTTCAACTTCGAAACAAAACAATATTTAGTTTCAATCTCTATCAATAATGAGCGTAAAACTTTTTAATATGTTTAAATAATAATTAAAACTTTAAAATTGCATTTATTTCAGACAATTATAAATATTATCATTATATTATCAAGTAAAAACGAGATTTTCAGCTAATTTTTCATTTTTTCCTCGATAACTATTTAGTGAATTTGAATAACCTTACGCTAAAGTGATTCTCCAGAGTTCAAGTTACTTATTATAAAAATTTGAAATTTCTAGTAGCTTTTTTTTCTGTTAATAAAAATAAATTTAATCTGTTCAATTAACGAATCTCCAAATTTTTATTTGTCTCGCAGCATTTTGACATACCTCCCAAACATCCTTAAGTTATCGACCTCAGTAGAAATAAGCCAGGACTCGTGGAGGTCCTTATATGTCATTGAGAATTACAACTGCACGAACAAAATGGGACTACTGCCTGAAGTTTGTGCAGCAAAGTTGTGGAAAATGCAATCCATATCCTTCGCTAGTGTCCCGTACTGATAGTGAGTGAATGTAGACACTGCGGCTTCAGGAAAGCTACGTTATGGAAGCAAAATACGTTACTATTCGTGATGGGAATCCCTCCTCTGAGGTGTGAAACGGTTATGTGGCGAAACAAGGGAGTACCAAGGGATATGACATGTGATGAAGCCCAAACTCACATCAAAGTAATA